ATCAGACTAAAACCAACAGAACATTATCAGGTCAGAACCAACAGAACATTATCAGACTAGAACCGATAATGTTCTGGTTCCTGCAAAGGATGAATGTGTCTGTGAGGAGGTTCTATCATCAGAACCAGAATATAAAATTCAGATTTCCATTATCATTAGTGTATAAAATAAGAACCACGCTGTGTTCTGGTTCTTGCAGAGGATGAGTGTGATGAGGTTCTGCAGCAGCAGCAGGAGGAGAAGGAGGAGCAGCTGGAGGAGGTCAGCAGGGGGCTGATCATCAGGGAGGAGCAGCTGTTCAGTCAGGACAACCCCAGCGAGGAGGAGGAGGACCAGCTGCAGAGAGACTTTGAGGCTCTCAGACTGAAGATATGTATGGCTATTGACAACACCTTCACCTCCTCTACTTCCTCCTTGGAGCACCTGGAGGTCCTGAGAAGTGCTGTGGCCTCTATCCAGCAGCAGGAGGAGCAGGACCGGCGGTGGGTGGGGTGTCTGGAGGACAGAGTCCCAGTGTGGCGTCCTCAGAAGTGTCTGAGCACTCACAACAGTCTGCTGCAGAACATGGTGCAGTCCAGACTGAGGAAGGGCTCAGAGGAGGAACCAAGTGGAACCGACGGACTGTCCTCACCTGTGAAGAAGGAGGTGAGTAATGAACCACAGTAATAATGGGACAGGAGACGCGTCACTAAGTACCGGTAAGAGTACGTAAGTACGTCTGTTAAGGAGAACTTAACGTACCTGTACAGGTCTGTGGTATGGAGAACTTATATTACTAACAAACCTGTGCTGGTGTACCTAAACAGGTGTGTGATATGTCACTAATGTGGTATATGTCATTAACGTACCTGTGCAGGTGTGTGGAATGGGGAAGCGGGTGAAGGAGGACCTGCTGACGGTGGTGAGGACAGTGAAGGACTGCTACCCTCCACAGGTGGACATCCTGAACCTGTATGCTGGACTGTACCATCAGGGCTTCTCTGTCCGGCTGAGGGAACTCACTGATTCTGGTCTTGACATTGAGGACTGTAGCTACCTGTTGTTCTGGGTCAACCAGTACTACCCACAGTGAGTCCTAGCTGACTGGGTTCAGAGGTTCTGATCCAGAGATCTGGATCCAGTCTCATGGTTTCTGTTTCCTCCTCCAGTGAAATATTGAACCATAAAGAGCTGGAGGGAAAGATAAAGACGGCCTGTCTGGGTTCTCTGCTGCTGCAGGACCATCTAAACCACCTGGAGGACCAGTACCTGACCCACAAAGAGGTGAATGCTTCTTGAAGTCGACTTTGACCCCTTTTCCACCAAGAGTTCCACCTGGTGCTGAATCTCTCTCAGCCAGGAAAACTGGTTGCAGTGCGGCACCAACACTCGGAGCGCTTTGTACCCAGACAGATATGTCTTCCTTATCCGTTTCACGGTTCTCAAATTGAACCAACTCTGAACCAGAATTAGGACCAGACCAGAACATAGTACAAGGGTCACATTGGTGGAAAGGGGGGTTTAAGGGTTCAGAGACGGTTAGGTGGATGAATGTATGTCCAGACTTTCTGAAGTTCTGTAAAAATAATGTTTTGTGTTTCTGGAATATTTGGAAACATCACATATGTGTTCTTTATCTGTGCTTTAAAGAACATAACTGCTCGCAGGTCGACCGATATTCATCAATATCTCATCTTTTATCTATAATAATAGTGTATAATATCTAATGTAACAGCAGCAAACCTGCAGCTTCTTTAAAGTGTGGTTTTCTGTAGTGTACAACCTGAAAGTAAAAGGTGTGTTTTATTAATAAACTGATCACATGAGATATTGATCACAGTGGCATTGAACAAATGCAGATCAATATTTCTGTTGAAGTATTATTAAAGTGAATGTTCGTTTTCCTTCAGGACCAAATGAAACTGTGGCTGAACACTGCTCTGAAGAAAGAGGTGGAGAGCTGGCTGAGCGGCAGCACACCTGAACTCATCGACCAATACCTCTTCAGCCCGCTAGCTATAGACGTCATACAGGTGAGATACAGTCAGTGCAGGTGAGATACAGTCAGTACAGGTGAGATACAGTCAGTACAGG